AAGTTAATAAACTGACACTTGTGATTAAAAGAAAGAAAACTAAATAGAAATAAGTTTATTTATATTTTGGTCGTTGAATTCATGAATTGATCTAAGTTAGACCATCAAGGAAAACCTGAAAGTACTGAACAACCGTTTCGTTCTAATATGAAGACTTTTCAGTAGTGTGTATCCCCGATGTCACACATGGGATCGGACCAAGAGTATATGGTCTCGCGCGCAAACGGTTTACCTCATAAAGTCGATGTATCTTCATTTTTTCAAGGGAAGCAAAGTGTTCAATTAAACATAATAGGAATTTATCTATTTATCATGTTAAGTTCAGATTTTTGTTAGCTTTGAATAAATCAAAATCTCTAATAGCTATCTATTTCTTCATTTCTCATTTCCTTTTATTTCTCTAATAAATTACATACAGAAATATAGGCCAATTTGTTATTATTTTAATCATTACCATGGTTATAATATTGCTCATAGCTATATGAAATAACTATTATTTAATGTGGAAAAAATACTATATATTTATTTATAGGTTCAGCTCTATGAAAAACACCATTTATGAATCTGACAAAAGAATAATAGTGTACTATTAGTTCCAGTAAAAGCATTATTATAGAATATATAAACACTTATATATTAAAATATATAATAAATCCTAAACTAATATTAAGATCTTTGTAGTCGTAACACTGCTTAAACATACTATAGAATGAAATAGTGCACTTCCTTTATATACAATAAACTCTAAGAATTCTAATTTCTATAACAAATAAAGTTTTTCTTAAGGAAAGATGACTAGTAGCTAACAGCGGAGTCCAGGATTCGCGTCTTGTCCTATTTGGGACTCGTCACTTAGATGTACCTGAACCTCGGAATCGATGCTCACTCTGGGATTCGAACCCAGTATCGTTCGCTTCGAACGCCATCGCCTTATCCACCTAGCAACTGAGTCCTGATAGTCAACTGCTTGTTCAATGGGGTGAAGCTTAAATTCACTTGGTGTTGTTTGTTTGTATCTTTCCATTGATTAAAATTCATGGAGTTAACAAACAATAAATGATTGTGTAGTGATGCAACTGAAAACAGATTAATGGTAATAAAGAAAGATGTGGATTGAAACCAGTCAGTTATGAATTGGAAAAAAAACAACAATGATGTAATCAAGCTTCAGAAAGAGTTGAACTAATGAATGACGCAATAAAAATTATGTAATGCTACCTTTGTTGTTTACCTGTAATTTCACTTATTTTCGAGAATGTCAAACATTCTTATAATTTTTTTAGATAATAATATGCACTTTATGTTCTGAGTCTGTTCACGACTGTTACAACTTTATATAGACTTAAGAGTGAGCTTTCTTGTTCACACATGAAGATATCTATCATATAGCTTAGACAGCAAGTTATTTATTCATTCAGGTGACAATCTAAAAACGCCATTAGGTGTTATAGTATTGTTCGTATCTTAATAATAGATTAGTAGTTGGTGAACTCATAGTATGACAATGTTAACAGAGAAAACGTTCACGTAATAACGTCAAACATGTTGACCACAATGATACAAATAATCTGATTTATCATTAATTTAAATTTGTTCTTCCTGTGTTGGTTTAAATGTTTATCTCCTTATAATCTATTATCATAAAAGACAATATCTTACACCTAATTAAAAGTTATGAGCATAATGTGATTAGGTAATGAAGTTACATATTGATATGTGTTGAACTACATTATGAGTTTATGTACTAAAGAATTGACTACTGTTTTCTAAATGTTTTTTTTTCTTTTCAAATACCTTGATTGATATAGTAAACCTTTTCGTTTATCTAGTTTTCATGATTTGTCTTATTTCATATCAGTAAAGTTTTTTTTCTATGGATAATTGTTTTATTTGTAAATTAGAAATAATCAAAAGTTAATAGAATGTAATTTACTTGAATGGATTGTAATAAGAGATTAATTTAGTATTTTTATTTGAATGATTTAGAAGTTTGTACAGGCACTACTTAACAAGTCTTATTGATAATATGCAACAATGGTATAAGATATACTGATAAAAATTAAATTCTACTTAAAAATGTAAATCATTTAATATTACGTTTGTAAATTCATTTGACAAGAAGTTATAACTGCAATCGTTTACTGAATCCATCTGAAATCTTGAGAGAAATCAGTAGTTCATATAACATTCGAGCACGTATTACCCAATTTCACAAATAAATGTTGTCATTAAGCTATTTGGGCAATGACTGACATTCTTCAAGACTGAAATACTTATTCTGGCTGTTAACTTACATTGGATATTATTCATTAATCAGTCAATGTGAACAACTTTGTTTAATCTCCGCTGATTACTTACAAAAATCTTAATTTATGTATACATATAATCAGTGATCAAATTATACTAAACTTTTTGTGGGAATTAAAACTTAAGTTCTTGATTGAGATCATGAATTGATCAGTGTTAGATCACCATTGAAAACCTGGAAACATTGAATGGCCGTTTCGTCCGATTGTTGGACTCCTCAGCAGTGTGCATCCACGATCCCACTCGTGGGGTTATTTGGGTTTACTTACTGAGAAATTTATTTTTATTATCTTGTCTATTTATTTATATTTCAGAAAAACAATGCCATTAGTCCGTCCTCAGCAATAACGTACAAACTAAAACCTAAAAACCAAATGCATTTGTAAGTAATAGTGTGATATATATATGATAAACAAGTTATAAATAATAAAGAAATTATAATTATTTTAATTTATTAAAATGAACAAAATGAAAATCATAAATATAGTCAACCACCTCCTACTAGTTTATTCTACGTGACAAATGAGTAAATAAACTAACTGTTAAGGAGAAATAGGGATTTGTAAATGAGAAACAAGAAGGCGACCAACAACAATAACAGAAGCAATAACCTTGATTAAAAAACCAAGCTAAGAAATATGTAATAACAGACTAGTTAACATTCGGTTGGTAATTCTGCTTTATTTCAGCTCTTATGTTCTATGTTTCATATTATAGAAAGATATATCATACAAATCTAATATTATACATATATTAACATTTTCATTGGACAGGTTTGGAATAGTTGATTTATCCTCTATGCTGTGAATAATAAGGATACAAGTTAGACTGAAAGCCAGTTTAATCAATAATCATGTATATTAGTGAGTATGTGTAATTGCACTTAGCTAACTCATAGGTTATATATATAGTTGGATATGTAGATAGAAACTTATAGAGATTTCATATAGATGAGAAAAATCTATTACTTCTGACGGACATATTATAAAGTATACGTTCATAATTGAGTTATAATTCAGTCATACAACTTTCAGTGAGCTCATTTATTTTTGCCAGATATAATACAAAGCTAGACATCTAACTTATACTTTATGTATGTCAACATTAGATGATATGATTGTAGAAATATGAATATAATTAACTTTGAACACTTTCACAAGAATCATTCATTAAATCAGCAAACAAAACTATCAAATATAACAGTATTTTTAATAACACAGGCCTTTTAGATGTTTCTTTGTTTTATGATAAGGCTATTTCTCACTAGTTTATCATCAATCAATCAGTTTTCAAACTACCAATTAATATCACTATGCTTTTCTTATAACAATAAATGATGAAATTTTCTTGGTTCTGTTCTATATGTAACTCTATGGTCACTTTTACATTTCACTATAATGATAAAGTTGGTTTTATCAGATTAAATCATTTTTCAAGTGGTATAACCAAACTTTAGATGATACATAAGAATCATTCTTTATTTTGAAATTAATAGTAAAAAAGTGATTACAGGCTCATTGTCAATAAGAAGTAAATAGTTCTATACGAAGAAAATGAACTAAATATAACATAAACATGTTAATTAGTTACTTCACTGTATGCAAATACATTTCATTCATTCTTATTAAATTTAAAACGTGATATATTCACAAAATAGTTGCTAGTTTATTTACACTTTCAGGACAGATTATATTAGAAGGGGTTTTGTGGAGATTTTAGTAATTTCAATAGTTCAAATTATGAGTCATTTGGAGCTAGATCACCATGGAAAACCTGGATGGCCATTTCGTTCTAGCATGGGACTTCTCAGCAGTGCGCATCTACGATCCTGCCTCTCGTGAGATTCGAACCCAGAACCTATCAGTTTCACGCGCGAGCGCTTAATTACTAGGATATCGAGTTCAAACTGTACTATGATGGGAACTATGACTGTTTTGTTATTATTACCTACCTTAGTGACATCAGTAGTTAAAGTAAACTAGCTTATCCTAAAGTAATCAATTATTAATGAGTTAATATATAGAATAGATCATGTAACATTTTTTAAGCTTTACCTTCTTTTTTGACAATAAATAAGAGTTGAATTATTTATTTGGCTGAATTACCTTTTAGTCAGACTGCATTTTGTTTTTGTTGTTGTTATACACTACTACTCTGTCCAGTTTTTTTTCTTTGAAAATATTGTAAGGCGATATATATTGATTACGAACCGTTTATTTTATTTAAGATTGTGATAAATCAATTTTCTTATTGCAGGAGACAACTTTAACTTTGTATTCGTCTCGAGAAAAAAAAACTGTTTTCTTTAATAATTCACTGAATTAATCTTTTTTTGCAGAACATTAAGTAAATCTCAGTTACAGTTTGGAATAGGTAACCATTTAGGTTACTGAGCACATAGCATCAGAAATCGATAAATATTACAAAATAGAAGATATTTTATTTAAATCTAATCTCTTCATTCTGATATGTTCAGTTAATCGATAAAAATTGAAACTTTCTTACTTGTTGACGATTAAATTATGGTAGTAATATCTTAGAGATCATAGAATGTCAAGTGTGTTTTTATTCAATATCAGTTATTTAAAATATCCTTTAATTATTAATTAGATAAAACTATTTTCTAGGTTTTAAAATATACAATTTAATATATTGTAAGGGATATCTCTTTACAATGAAGCTTTATTACTTACCTTGATCTTCTTCTAAACCTAAATTTAAAATTGCTCGATGTATTGCATCAACACTATTCACACCTAATAAATCCAATGTTTTGTTTAATCGATTAGATGTACTTGTCCCACTAACATTACTAGCAGGATTGTTGTATTTACCAGAAATCTCTTCAGTTGATTTAAGTGTTCTTTTCTTAGGTGAATGATGTGAATAATCTTTACTTGATGATAAAGCAAGTGATAATAAAGATCCAGTAATATCATTAGTGGATGAAGTATGTTGAAGTTCTTGTATAAAATTTTGTTCTGCATTTTGAGTACGTGTGATAAGTGATTGAGATACCTAAAATGTAAAAGTATTTGAATTAAAATAACTATATACTTAAATATTTTAATAGATGATTAAGTAATTGATTTACTTTTACACATTGTCCATATGATATTTAATCACTATGGCTAGTCTAAGACAATGGATATTCATTGGAATAAACATTGATAATTATTGTTTAATATAAATTAAAATTATATTAAAATTTCATAATGAAAATGTCAAAAAAAGTATTATCTAATTTGTATTCAACCTGTAACAGATATATTTGATATCCATGTGATCTGTAATAAACAGTGTTATTACCACCGATTGACAGCAATAATGTATTCTATCAATAAAGAATACTAATATATATATATATATATATATATATATATATATATATATATATATATATATATATATATATATATATGATTAATTATTGCAAACTGTAAACATCAGTATCATTTATCAGGAAATTAATGATATGTTTAACTATTTAAATGCTATAGATATATATGCTTATTTTGTTAATATTCAAACATATTAGTACATACAATAGAAATTGTTTAACATTGAAAAATCAACTGAACTTCTCAAACATTTTTCAGTACGTACAAATATTTCACATCCTAGAGAACATTATGAAATCAATAAAACCGATAGTGAGAGACTATTTACAAAATATTTTTTTATATAACTATATTTCTCAATGGATTATTATTTCTGAATATAATTTTCTTAGGAAAATACTGGATATATCACAATTAATGATCAAATGTTGTAATGTTTTATTAGGTTTTTTCTATTACTTTCAATGAGGTAGGAGGGATTTTATTTCAACAACATTCGAGATGAATAAGTTTGATTTACAATCCAATAACTCGTACTCTTTTTTCTACTCATGCATCGAGGTGAAGAAGAAATATGATATGGAGCTTAGGCAAAAGTATTTTTTTTAAATACAGATTTGAACAATTTCATACTTCCGACTTCATTTTCTATACTTCACGAACTATAAATTAAGTCGCCACACTTTCTGAAATATACTCATATATATATATCCTCAGAACTATTGGCATTAGGCAGATTAAAATTATTCTGCCTGTTTATTAATTTGAAGTTCAAAAACATACTTTGTGTTTACTGAATTCAAATTTGTATCTGATATTCTGGCACATTGTAGTTTAACGCTTCTTTAGAGATAACTCCAAGGGAATTTGAATTTTAGCCTTTATAATTCATATCATTTCAAACCAATAATTCTCATATTAAATCACAACTCATGTTTTATTCATAACGATCAATTAATTCATTTAAAGAAACAAACTGACAAATGTTTTAACGTTGTTGGATGCCGACTCAGTTGTCTAGAGGTTAAGCGTTCACGCTCGTTACCGAAGGTCCCAAATTCGAGTTTCGTATGCGCGATCGTGGATGCGCTCTTTTGAGGGGTCCCATACTAGGATGAAACGACTGTACAGTGCTTCCAGGATTTCAAAGGTGGTCCAACCTTGATCGATTCATGATTTCAATCAAAACTCAACAATCTTCACAACCCTATACTGATAAATAGCTTACATATTTAGTATTCAGAAAATAATCTCTTTTACTTCATGAGTAGTGTAGCATAACAAAATATTTTTGGTTTGTTAGTCATTACCTTTTCCATTAGCTGGTATTTGTTTTCTTCTGAGTAAATATAATTCCAAAGGTTCACAACAACGATGAACTATAACTTATTAACTTAGCTATCCTAAAGTGATTAATTCAATACTATTCATAATTAAAGCAGTAAAGTTTTTTAATTCATTTGCCATTGTTTGTTTGAATCTTCTTATTGGTGTTTGGGACAAACAATACAAAATGAATTCTAACTACACCTCATTGCACAAGCTAGTGGCTATCAAGACTCAGTAGCCAAGTGGATAAAGCCGTAGCATTCGAAGCAAACGGTACTGCGTTCGAGTTCCAGAGTGAACATCAACTCGGAGATGCAGGTACATCTAGGTGATGAGTCCCAAGTAGGAAGAGACGCGCGCCCTGGATTTCATTGCTAGCCACCATCAACCTTTGCTGAGTAATGTTTTCTGATGACTTTAACCAAATATGAGATAATATGGTAATTAGAAACATGAATATGTTATGAAGAATTAATTTACCAAAAGAAATGCGGACGGATCACTTTCTTTAAGCATTTCTATACAAAATTGAATAAGACCAGTTGATTTGGTTAATAATGATGTGACACGATTAATTTGTTCCTTGAGACAATGAATACGTTTGGTTCTTTCGTCTCGTAAACGTTCTGTTAGTTCTTGTTTTTTTGTTTCGATAGCAGAAATCAATGTGTTTAGTTGTTCAACAAGTTCTTTTTCTGAATCTGCAAGGTTTCTCTGCAAAAAAATAATTTGTGCAGAGTGTAAAACACAGTTATTGAAAGTTAAATAAATAAGTCTCATTAAAAATTTCACTGATTGTCAACTGGGTCAGTGAATAGATTTTTTGTGTTGAGCTACGGATTATTGATTAGTATAATTGATAATCAACTGGTGAGCCACAAGCTTAATGCAAGACCCACTGCTTAAATGAATGGTATCACTAAAATATTACATAACAGTGTATCGCTTTTATATAACTGAATAAATCTGCATTAGACTACATGGTTTCATGAACTTTCATATGTGGTTACATTCAAGAATGAGGAAATATTTTAGAAAAAAGCAATAATTTAGGAAACCCATCTTAGTGATCATCACTTTATCACTCTTTGGCTTACCTGATTACGAAACCCAACTATTAACCAAATCTTCAGTTATTTTAGTGATTTTCCGAAGGGTTTGAGTTAGTACAGAAGATAAAACTTTACAAATGTGTTCATTGTACTATTAATCATCTGGATACTAACAACTAACTTTGAGATGAAGTGCTAAAGTTCTAGTGAGAAGTTATGACAGTAAAGTAAGACTGTCATTCAATAAGCTTACCAAATAACTATTAGGCTATATTGTGTGCTGACAGACTGGAAATGTGAAATATCGAGTTTCAAATTAATCATCTATAAAGAATTCCCTCTTTGTGTAAGTAAAAGGTCCTTGAGTAATGGCAAGTATAAAAAGCTAAGAAGTCGCGAACTAGAATGAAACACCTATTAAGCTGATATCAGAATATAAAAGAATCGATTCCTCAATAGCAAATAATAAATAATGTATACATAAAAATTTTGTTTACTCTCTACTTAGTGCATTTTGTGTTCAAATCTTCATAAATGATATTAATTAACTTAGAAATAACTTCTGAATAAAGTCATTAAGATAACAAAAAAGAATTACACTAATTTAAATTCAATAGTTGAGATCATGGGTCAATTGAAGCTAGAGCACCATGGAAAACTTGTAAGCACTAGATGGCCATTTCGTCCTATTGTGAGACTCCCCAGCAGTGCACATCCACGATCCCTCCCCGTGGGATTCAAATTAAATTCCTCTAATAACTAGTGAAAAAAGCTTACAAACGTATGAATATACTAGTTTGTCAAACCCTTTGCTAATCAGTAGCTGAAACAAATATTAATAACGCAATACAATAAACACTCAAACTTTAAGCATCGTTAACTCGTGACACTCTTTGTTCTAAGGAATGTATTGACATATTTCATCGTAAATGTTAGTAACATACATATGGTGGTTTTTTAAACATATTTAAAAAAATGATTTGATTGTTAGTGTTTTATCAAACATTTTCCTATCTTCACTTGGTAGTGTTTGGCTTGTATCGTCCCATTGAGGTTTAAGACTGCAATTGATCAGTCTTTTTATTGGCATATGTGCATACTGTGCGTATGCCTCAATATTCCCTTAATTCACAAGCTTTTTGTAAGCAATGATGGATAGTGGCTAGCAGTGGAATCCAGGACGTGCGTTTCGTCCTATTTGGAACTCGTCAGCTGGATGAAACGCGCGTCCTGGATTCTACTGCTAGCCATTATCCATCATTGCTTACAAAATTTTCCTATCTTATCTACGATCACGTTAAATGTTTTCCGTAAAAAGAAGAAAATTTTTTTTAAAATTTTCACTATTTGAAAATTATTCATTAATTTTGAAACCCAATGAATCAATCATTTTCTTGTTGTGTTTAATTTACATTTTATGAAATTCAAAATCAGAAAACAAAATTATTTTTGTAAAATAAATTTCAACAATTAGATAAAATATAGAAAAACATAGAGCTAGATAATTGAAGTTATTTAATGGGTAATCATGATTTCAATTTTTATGTCCATATTTATCTTTTGACATATATCTTTGAGTTGATGAATTTTAACTGATATCTGAACTGTGTTTTTGTGTAATTATTAAAATATTATCATTTATTGAAACAGACTTAACGGCCGTCCAGTTCTTCCAGGTTTTCCATGGTGATCTAGCTTCCATTGATTCATGATCTCAACTAATGAGATTTCTAAAATCTCTACAAAACCCCTTCTGATAATAAGAAATGTTTTCTTTTTCAAGCTCTTTGGAAACAAATGAGAACTAGTATTGCATAGTTTATCAGTAGCTATCTTAAGGTTTTTAATCAGTCAATCTACATTCTCAGAAAAGTTATTTTATAGCTTTTGATTGATAACCTTTGGTAAGTAGTAAGAGTGAATAAATATCAATAATAACAAATAATTACTAGTCATAGCGCAGGGATAAAACTAGGTGTAAGTAAACTTATATGAAACAGAAATGTATAACGAGCTGAGTCATCAAGATTTACAGCCCATTAGTTTTATGGTGTAAAGCCATGATTTAGTCGGAACTCTTTGGCACTTTCAAGTACATTCTGAAAAATTTATATTCTGGGTTCATTAAGAACAACATGAATCATAAAGCGGAGTTAAATGATCTAAACAATCTATGCAACAAACAAGGTGATACACATCTGCGGACCACTGGCACTGATCACCAGTAATACATATTTTATCTAAGTATTTTAAAAAATTTGTCTGCTAGTTTCACTTTATTATCTTGCCTATTTTTTCCTGATGATGAGTATCAAAAAATCTCATGATGAAACTTCATAATCGTGTTTTACCAGTTTAATTCACATGTCAAATTGTAGATATTACTATATAATATTTTGACCATCTTTCCCTCACTCCCCAAAAAATATATTTACATCACGATCATTTTATTTGAGTAACTTTTAAGTCAATATGTGCTATTTAGTTAAAAGCATTATACACTTATGATATTTTGCTCTGTTTTACTCACATAATATCACCATACATATTTATTAAAATTAGACAAGTTAAATAAATAATTGACCATCAAGTGACCATTATCTCATCAATTAATCAGTTCTCATTTTGTATAAAATGTGTTGATAAATAGTGATAGATATGACTTGTTTAGTTTCATGCTTTATCAGTAAAATATTTACCCTACTTTTTATGTATAATCAAACAAATCGTTTATTTTATGGAAACTTCGAGAGTTAGGTTAATTGAATCAGGATATAGAAATAGTCTAAACGTAATCATAAAATTATACGATAAATTTTTATTGTAAGGGGATCATAGAGATCGTTAAAAATTTAGGGTTTACGGATTGACCTAAGTTAAACGATTAACGATTCACCTTTTAGTTGTGAGTGCTTACTAATAAGTAGTCCTATACAAGAACAAAACAGCGGTTCAACTTTTCTTGACATACAGTAGTTGTCTAAATAAAATCAGTCTATGATGTAGATGATAAATGGTTTATTTACCTAAACGTTTGTGCTGATATTTTTCCCTAGAGAAGCCATGAAAGACTCATGATGAATCATCCGCTTTTCTAATAGTTATCTTCATTGTTTACTATCTATCAATTTTAGTTACACCACGGAGTAATATTTTAGGCGACATCACTAAATCTACTAAATATTCTAGTGTTCATGAAGTTGTCTTGGGTTGCAATGGAAACTACGTTCAAATCTCAACTATTTTTCATGTGATCTCAGCTTGTTGACTAACTTATGTTAACCCTTGTGGATAAGCATAGCCACAGACGAGGACTCTCCAACCAACTCTATTCTGGGTTTTCCCTTCAAGCTGTTGCAAAATATTGTTCTTTTTTCATATCTACCTTCGATTCCAAGTCAGCGACTTTCCATGTCCCCCTGAGGATTTCAATTTAGGGCTTGCCTCATGATGAAGTTTGATAATTTTCTCTATGTATGTTATATCCATCTCCAGTATCTCTTCTTAATTTACTCTTCAGTTGAAAACTGGTTTGTACTCTACTAGAGTAGATTGTTGCTGGTGATGTCGGGCCAATAGATCTTGTGTAGACAAGTGTTTCTAAATACCCGTAAATTTTTGATGATAGTTGTAATAGATCTCAAAGTCACACTTGACGGTTAAGTTGGAAATTCTGACTTTTGATCAGCTAATAATTGTTTAGTGTTCCAGATCTTCACTTGTAGGAATGCTGCCATTACTTTGCCAATCCATGCCTCCACACCTGTATCATATTCTCCTTGTTTATCAATAGTGTTGCCTAGATACGTGAAAGTCTCCACCTCTTCCAGAGATTTCCCATCAGATGTGATTTGGTTGGTACTCGTTGTGTTATATTTTAGGATCTTGTTTTTTCTTTGATGAATGTTTAGACCTGCCTTCAGCCCCCAAATACCCTGGCACGGCCGAGCGTGGGGAGAGTCCGCTCTCCCTCTCGAAATGCTCTCACACGGTCACGTGCACGCAAACAATGACTGGAAAGTTCTACTCATTGCCTTCTTGTGTTGCAGGTGTTGGTTACGAAATTGTGATGAGGAAAAGTGAATGTCCGGAGTTTTAACTCGGTTGCTGGACACGAGGAGTCAACCTAGGGGAGTTGAAAAACCCTGATTCCAAACCAATAGCGCACATGGGCTCCAGTATCCTGCGAGAACAAATGGCGTATGAATCAATCGTTGGTCACCGGCTAACATGGAACCGCATCTCCTGACGTTGCTCCACTGCCTTAAGGATTAGACCCTCGGAAAGTGGCCGCCTAAGAAAATCACCTACCTAGGTTTTGCCACCCAGGCAATATCTCAGAACCAGTATTCCGCAAATAGAAAGATTTATGTGGCGCACATCTATTTGATGCTTCCTTGTACCAATGTTTATGTGTTTAAATAAACAAATAAAGACCTACTGCTGCTACACTGGATTTCCAAACTTATTTAGAAAACCATAAACATAATTTTTTTAAGTAGTGGGCTTTATTTGCTACGGGTTTTTCAGTGATTTATCCGTCTATCTTTTAATTTTTTCCATCAACTAAAGCTAAATTATCTTATCAATTAAAATATGTTAAGATTTTTGAGATGTCAAAAAATAACTAACATTTTTACTGTCTAACAATTTGATAATAATGTTTATATAGACCATACCTTCGGATCAGTGTGTACATCATTAGAGACATACACTCACATCCACGATATAATATGTAATTACTGATTATAAATTCTTTGACTATGAAATATTAACTATATTCAACCTGAAAAGGAACTTACATTAACGGTTTCTGATTTCGATCTTAAACGCTGTATGTGCTCCGTAGCTGAACGAGCTCTTTCTGATAGTGCTTGAAGTGACTGAGATAGTTCAGTCTTGAAAATAAAAATAAATAAAAAACAAGTGAAATAATATTAGTCAATCAACCACTTGACATGAAAAATTCATTTCGAATTCACTTTAATTTCGAGTTTCTATACATGTAATCTATTATTATTCATTTAAATATCATTGAATAAACTTAAAAACAAGTGGAGTGTAATTTAAGAATATTTCATAAGACTGAACATCTTTAATATATGAACTATTTGTTTTCTGAACGTACCATACACACCTGATATATCTAATTTTAATTAATCTACAATGGGCTTAATTTTCCACTAATAAACTAACCTCACAGTGAATGTATCAAATATCCTAATGTTTGCCTATTTGATTACTCAGTCATGATATCTTCTACTAGCATAAACTCTATTAATCAATTTATAAATGAATTACATAAACAGTCATTATGCATGATATATATATATATATATATATATATATATATATATTGGTACTTAGTTGTTTAACGGATTATTCTGTGAGGTTTTAAGTGGTAACAGCTAAGTTCCAAACTTGATATAATCAGTACCGAAATACATATAAGCGTAGCTAACAGATTTACAAGTATTACATTAAACATATCCTGAAACGAGTAGAACAATAGTTGGTTTATTACTACTACCTAGAAACCATTAACTTCTTTTAAGATTTATTAATATTATGAAATAGTCAAATTTCGTTGTCCAAAGAATAGAACAGAAATTTTTATTGTTTCTCCTTAGTGCTTCTATCTGATTTCAGGTATGTAATTCACCTGAAATGTAAAGTAATTAAATTAAAAAGTACAGTATACTTTTGAAAATAGTTGTCATAAACTCTTCAGTGCAATTCATTAAATAAACACTAGAAATGTTATGTTAAAATTTACCATAAATATAGTCCTTAATTACTTAATGAAAACACTTGAACATTAATTTCACTGATTTGTATTACCTTCATAATTTCCTGTATTTGTAATTATGATTTCCTTTAGTCTTAGTAATGTAAATTATGACAACTAAAAAAATTGTAATACATCTTCATTTGTTTATAACTGGATTCTTTTTTTCTTGAGAAGGAATGTAAGAAGGTAAAATAGCCTTTACCATTTAGTGTAAAAATCTTTTTGTTTTTTTTTTAAAAGAACATTCGTGATTATAAACAAATTTAAAATCTATGTTTATTTCTATTAACATTTGGTTTAAGTTTATAAGTATCAATACCAAGGTCAGATTTGATCGTTTCAAATAAGTTAAGCATTGGGTAGGGAGTGAATAATAAATATATTTATTGTTATATCTTAACAAGTAGAAAAATTGTAATTCTGACGTTTCGTGACTTAATGTAATTCACTTCTTTATTTACTTTGGAGAAGTGGCCTACATCAAGTCACGAAACGTCAGAAATACAATTATTCAACTCATAGGGGTATAACAATAAAAATATTTATTATCATCAGAAGGGGTTTTTGTGGATGTTATAGTAATTTTAATAGTTGAGATCATAAGTCAACTGAGGCTAAGCCACCATGAAAAACCTGGAATCACTGAATGGGCGTTTCTTCCTATTGCGCGACACAGCAGTGCGCATTCAAAATCCCGCCTCGCGAGATTCGAACCCGGGATCTATCGATCTCTCGTGACCAGTGGAGTTCAACTGAGTCTATAATGAGATGGTAAATCACTGAGGATAATGTTGGATGTGTGGCTCAATTTCGTGGATTGGTTGAAATTAGACATTAACACCATTGGATGCTGGTCGGCTCAGTGGTCTAGAGGTTGAGCATTCACGCGCGAGACTGATGGGTCCTGTGTTCGAATCTCGAGAGGCGGGATCATGGATGCACAGTGCTGAAGATTCTCACAATAGGACGAAACGGCAGTCCAGTGCTTTCAGGTTTCCAACGGTGGTCTAGCTTCAATTGACTAATGATCTCAACTATTAAAATATTTATTATTATTTGTTTTGAACATTTTAATTGATCTGCAAGATTTAATTATATATTCGACCTGAACGTGTTCATCATTTATTCTAAGATCTTGTTTTAAGTCTGTGGTGACTTAGGTCCCATTTTTATTCTTACTTATTTAGTTTAAATTATAGGAATTAAAAAATCGGTCATTTTTACAATCAAATACTATTTTCGATTAGCGAGAACTAATCTTTCAATTTTTAAAAAACTAATCCACTTTCTTCAACGTTTTCTCTAATAATATGTACTGAATTATTGAAAACACTGTAACTCATTGAATAGAGTAAAAATTTGCTAAAGTACTGATTCACCATTTAACCGTGGTATTTGATTTAAAGTAAAACTCTACCATTAAAAATAAACCTTTAAATTTTATCAGAAATACGTAATTCTATTGAATTAACTACACACTCGTATTAATTTGATCATATCATTTATGTTGTTAAAAATAACATAATCCGATCATAAAATCATTGATCAGAGTAATAGTAAATAGACAGTTAAATTTGTTCGCTGTAGACTTTTGTTACTTTGGAGAATTTGTGGTAATTGCTAAGTTTTATAGTCTACATCACTAACTGACCTTAGATTTCATACCTGTTCAATACTTCTTGGTTTCTAACGATTGCCTAAGCCTAGTCCGTAAATCGAACTACAAAAATTACTGCTGATTTATTCACATTACAATTTCAGACAAAAACCAACTTTAAACCTTTTTTCTTTTGTCAAAGGAATTAAAGTTCTGACATTCTACGATCCAGTTAATCTTCTATCAGTTCTGGCAAACTAGATTTGTCCAATGACTGGTTCGTTATTACATAATATAATCAATTCAGGTTCTAGTAACATATTTAAACAGCTAAACATTAAAACAATGATTGTCAATGAAATCGCACACGCATACATCAAAATTATTATACTCAGATACATATAAGCTATATATATGTAACACATATACTAAATCTATAACCGAATATTCGAGTTTAAAATTACACAATGCCTTCAGGCTTAAAGCTTGATTTATCTTATTTATAAATCTAAATGAATGTAATAAACTCGTTCGAAGTCATCCATCATTTTATTCTATTTTTTCCTTGTGAATATCAAGTGTGTAAAAGTTATTTGAAACTTCATTTCAACTAGAAATAATACACACAAAATAAAATTCAATGATCAATTGAATTGATTTTAATTGATCACTATTGTTTATTAATTTTTTTTCTTTTTACTTCATTCAACTCGAATGTCCTCAATTAACCTAACTACTCAAATTCTATTTTGGTAAAAATAATAATTCATCATCTTACATTATTATTACCATTCAGAAGACTTAGTACAAATGACCTTTGAGGATTTTCTTTTTGTTCTTCAAATACTAACCTTAATCTCTAGTAATAATAATAATAATAATCGTATTTAATTATACATATGCATACATTATTGATAGTATTTTAACTTTTCAAATAACTGCTCTGTTTCCGTTCTATTTTATGTTTCTATAAAGGTAAAGAGTTCATTATATTATTTTGACATTAATCAGTTTTATCTAAGATATTTAAAAGAAATTTTAGAGACCTACTTAATTAATGAATGAAATAAAATTTATTTTTCAATGTTTTAAGTAAAATTATTTAGTAGAAGTCTGCATGGTTTTTGTGAAAATTTCGATTACCATAATTCATTATAGTATTATATGAAATTTTAAGAATTTCCATTTTGAGATCAATATTAGATCACAATTGAAAACCTATACTGATAATTATCATAGGCTCAGTACTGACTAAAATCTGGAAGTAATTCTAGTGAGAAGCCGTGATTAGTGAAGATCAATTAGTGTTGGGTGGAGACAGTTATACACCAAAAACAACGGAAGATAGTCACATAATATCGTGGATTGGTTGACTTTAGACATTAACATTGTTGAGTGCTGATTAAATAGTCTAGAAGTTAAGCGTTTGGGTTCGGTTCCACAGGCGAGATCGTGGATGCGCACTGTTGAGGGATTCCATACTACGACGAGACGACCATCCGGTGCTTCCAGGTTTTCCATGGTGGTCTAGCTTCAATTAACTTATAAATTCAACTATTAAATTATTATAATATCCGCGAATCCTCTCTCTGATTATAATCATTTTGATAACCTTTCTTCCTTTATAGTTAATATTAACCTAATATTAATCGATTCATGATCTCAGTCAAAACTCAACAATCTTTACAACCCTATACTGAGAATTTCTATTTATCTGAATTTATTCATCACCGTATTCTTAAAGTAATTTGAGTTCTTGAATTTGTATTCTCACTATGTATCACGATGACAAAATCATATTGTCAATTTTAAAATATTCTGATTCTCAGATTTAACTACGAATTGAGCGTGTTTTTCATCACGAACTGATATACCCTGGAAATCGTTTAAAAAATTTATGAAAAAACGCTTACTAGTTATTTCTTCTCAGTTTCAGACCTAACAACAATATGCTAGAGAGAGGCCTTGTAAAATAAACAGGAATCAATTATTTGTAAAGTCACAACCCGACAGGTCTTTTGTTATCATATATTAGCATTATCCTAAAATAAATCTAAGTAAAAATAATCAGTAAGGTGTATGTGTAATTGCTAGTTAATTGATATTCCCTCAGAAATCCAAACCTGTTCCGAGTAATTTCTTTTCTACCGCTCATTTTCAGCTATATGATGTGTCAAATAATATATTTATTTGCAGTACGGCTTCACTGGTTGGAAATCTTCGCCAATGCTATTGGTCACCCATAAATTAAGTATAACCGACTCTAAATAAAACAAATTTTACTATGTATCCTGATTTACATGATCACATAAAGATTATTCAACTACAGCTTCACATCAAACTAGTTTTTACAACTCAAGAAACAACTTGAAGTTATTACAGTATAACTGATGCCAAAAAAGTGTATTTGTATAGTGTTAGAATACATCATGCACAATGGAGCTGACTCAACTGTGTTTTTTAAAGCATTCAAATATTTATCACAAACGCTTTGTTTCATTAAACACTAT